CAGGATAAACTTGTATGAATGGCCAGACCTAGGCATGTTGGCAGTGGTTTTAATTTGCAACAGGAAAAAAATGCTAATTTCAGTTTCCTTTGAGACCCATTTAAAGCCAGGAGCACACAAAACAAATGTCAAACTGAATAAAACTCCATCAGAATCCTGGCCAGTGATATTCTAATTATCTACCAGTGTGGCAATATGTGTGAGTGGACTCTAATTCACTCAATACCTAGGTATGAAGTAAAACTCATACTTGAGAAAAATGTGAAATTGAAGTTCTCCATTTTCTATTTGTTAATGTCACTGAAAATTGAAAGTTGTTTAACATTAAGGACACACCATGTAACTTTTGGCTACTAGGGGTTCTACACGTTTAACCTCATGGCTAGCACCCTTTAATGGCCATAAGCTCTGAAATACTGTTGCAAAAGTCAACAGTCAGCCTGCCAGCCACCAGTGTCTTGATTGGGGACCACGCTAGGTGTCTAGTTTCAATTTGGAGGGAGTGAGAAACGCTTCTGCTCTCTGGAGAGCACTGCTGGGACAGTCCGGACTGTGCAGCATGGAGCGGAGGACCAGCGGCAGAGCTTCAGCGAAGAACTACTGGGTCAGACGGAACGTTCTTACAGGTCATATGACCTGGTCAACAACGGTGCATTTTCTCCCATCTTACATGAGTGGTATTTCAAGAGGGGAGCCCTGCTAGTAGCATTGATAGTGTCAAGCGCTGTATATTGACCTTAGGAATCCTAAAATAAATAAAATAGCTCATAAGCGTCAACTCGATAGGTCACAAAGTCTGTGGTGTGCCTTTAATTTACCATATCAAATTATGTTATAGAAACATAAATTAATTTTATAAAATATCAGAATTACCTCACATGACTAAATTAAGGGGAAAAAAAACATTGATAACTGATAGAGGAAATCAATTCTGGTTTAAAATTATTTAAAACCAGTGAAATGCTACTGGCAGTCTAACATAAGATTAATGGTCCATACTGTATATAGTATAAACGCATGCCATGGCTGTGTACAGTCACAAACTAATATACCCTGGAGCATGGTACATGGCACTCAATTCAGTCATGCATAATCCAATGTTGTATTGATTCAGTACTGTAACGGGTTAGTGAAGAGTCTACTAAACCTTTTTACCTATCAACTCAATGACACAGAGGAAAAGGAATTTGTTTTAAATACAGGAACATCTGAGCTTATGGATGTTTCCTGAATATCAGGAACTGACATGTGCAAGGGATTTTTTTCTAATGCATTCTTTTTTAAAGGGCTCTTTAAAAAATGAGGATTCTCAACAGCAGTCTGTATGCTCGCTTTCTTTTTACTGAGGAAGTTCAATCCATGTGAAGATGAATAAGGCAGTAATAATGAGATTGTGAAACTAACAGCGAGACAAAATATCCAACTCTCATTAAAGATGCAACATGGCCTGCTTCCTTTTGCCAGATCTTCCATTTGCCAGATATCCAAGATCTTTGCCAGATCTTGGAGAGAGAGAAGTGGAGCATAAGGTTTCTGGTCTGGCCATTTGCAGAAATCTGACCACCTTATCAAACATGCATGACAGCTCAAGCTAAAAAATGCAATTATTCCCTTTCCTAGCCATAAAAGAAAAAAAAAACATATTTTAAAGTGTATTTATTAGATTTCTTCCTTTTTTTTTTTATTACTGTGGGTTTTTTTAAATAAAGCCTTGCACACGATTTCCCTAGAATGGTGCAAGCTTTAATTGGCAAATGGCTTCCTGTCTCCAGAGATTTTAAGCCGAGGCATGTCCTTAACATCCAACCTTCACACTTTCTGCTGCTCCCAACAAGATAGAGGTAAAAATTAGAAACATGAGTCAGTAATCTCCCTAACAGGAAGCCAATGGGCTTAACTCCCTTCTAAATCTATAAATCTCCAGTTTATAGAGCCCAAACTGATGGGCTAAAGCACCTGCAGTTTGGGGACAAAGTATATGACCCAGTCATACCAGAGTAGAAGCTTCCAGCGAGGCTCTTCATCCCTCAAAAGCCCCTATTCATGAGATAGACATAAATCGTTTATAAAACACATTTCAGTTTCTAAAATCAGTGAGCTCAAATGAGTATTTCAAAATGTCAAATTGATGGGGCACTGTGGATCTAAGAATGTAGTTTTTCTGTGTAAAACAGCCCTTGCCTGTTTGTTAAATGAAGATCTTACTGTATTTATCTCAATTGGTTCAATTTAGAATAAGTGTAACCCCAAGAATAGATAACACAAGTGCATCTGAAAAAAAGAAAAATAAAATATATATATATATATAAAAAAAAAAAAAAAAAAAAAATATATATATATATATATATATATATATATATATATATATATATATATATATATATATATATATATATATATATATATAAAAATATATATATATATATATATATATATAAAAATATATATATATATATATATATATATATATATATATATATATATATATATATATATATATATATATATATATATATATATATATATATATATATATATATATAAAGAAATGTTTTTCTTCACAATTCAAACAGCAAAATAACTATAAGGGCAATCTAAGACAGAAACGAAGGGTATTTGGCGCCATCTGGTGGGACAAAAATGTATTCCAACAATCAAAAAGCTATACGCTGATGAAGGTTCTCAGTCATCCAGGTCATAGTCATTCCGTAAAAATTCAAAAAAATTCTTGGAAACCAAGTCCAGTGGATATTTTGTTGAATTTTTACGAAAAAGCTATACACATGAAAAGAAAAAAATTTCTAAAAAAAAAAAAAAATGAATCCTGTGAATTTTAAAAAGCTAATTGAGCATTATCAGATGCACACATGTGCCGAATTTTCATAATATCCATTATATAGGTTTTGTTCTTAAAAGCTCCAGTCAGATAACCAATAAATGAATCATTAAATGATTGAACATGGGTTTAACTACTCAGGTCTGATATTTAGGAAGGCCACGCATCATACAAATGTTTTTTAAGATTTTATTCTCTCTCTGTTGTTGAAGACACCATGAAAAGTACAAAAATAAAGAATATAAAACATTTCACAAAAATACATTTCTCTGACTACACACAAGAAAATTGATCAAACTTGATTAAACAGGAGATGGATCCTACTTGCTAAATTATCAGCAAGGAAGATTTAAATAATCAACACAAGTTACAGTGTGCGCCTTTCAGACCAACGTAGAATAGTCTTTTCCTCTTGAGTGGATCAGTAGCGTTGATGCAATGCTTTCATGTGTCTCTGTAGCCGTATTGGATATCCCATAATTCAGTTCAAATCCACTAACTGGACTAGAAATGTGACCTTTATTCAAATACAACTCAAAAACTGTAAATTAACTTTACTAAATCAATTAACAGAAATATTTTTAAATTATAGAACTATCATAACCAAAGACAAAAGTATTAACTCTTAACTATCCCCTTGACAGTTACAATATTCCAAAAATATTCTGATCCAATTGGATATTTCAGTGCATGGTTTTACAAGTTTACTTGATTTCACATTTACTTCAAACTAGTTAAACTTACTAAATGTTATAAAGCACAAACATATTTGTTTCCCTTCATATAGTCTTGCTTTAACTACTGATGATACAACACATGTGGTCAAAATAGGCCCTATCTTTTCTTAAACCTTTATGCCAATATGGTTGAATAATGTGTGCTACTACATACTACTTCAATATGTTATTGTGAATATCTGACTGGAGTCTGTAAAGGAAGTGGCGACCTTGTGGTTAGGGCATAAGGCATGGAATCCTGAGGTTGTGAGTTTGAAACCCACTTCCACAGACTGCCACTCTGGCTCTGTGAGCAAAAGATCCTCAACCCCACACTGCTCCCTGGGCCCTGCAAAATGACAGCCCACTGCTCCCCAATGGGATGGGTTAAATGCAGATAGTTAATTTTGTTGCTCTGTACTTGTGACAGTGTAATGACAATAAAAACACTGGAAAACAGTGTTGATCAAGTCAGTCCCTCTTTAGTACTCTATGGCAAGCCTTAAATGATTTTGGTATAGATTTTAACAGAGGCTACTCTGATGGAATAATAGAGTATTAGAATATATTTTGGAAAATACACTGTAGGAACACTGCTAGGCCTACTTGTATGCATCTAACTGATAACCAGTTAGAAAAAATACCTTTCAATGGTGAGGGTCCTTTTAGAAAACACTTATGGATATTTGATGATTAAAAAATGTCTGCAAAATACCATACACACTGCTAAAAGCTTTTACAGACTGGAAGCCAAGATAATGTTTTGTCTAACAGAGATATGCCAGGGTAAACAATTTCTTATTTATTGAACAGATTGGATGAATTGATCCTTCCTTCCTTCCTTCCTTCCTTCCTTCCTTCCTTCCTTCCTTCCTTCCTTCCTTCCTTCCTTCCTTCCTTCCTTCCTTCCTTCCTTCCTTCCTTCCTTCCTTCCTTCCTTCCTTCACTGTCTGTCCACCTTTTCCCATCTTTTATTGAATGGCCATAACGTATACACAGTAATATAACATGACTTTCATGTCATGAACCATTTTGTCCATCAGGTGTCGCCATTGTACCTCACATAGACAACTTTACATCTGTTGAGCAATTACAGAAACTCCTTAGAAATCTAAGGATGATTTAACGCAAAGCTACATAATCACAACGGATAACTGGAGTGCTTAAAGATGCAGTCTTATCTTGCAGCAATTTCCAAAGAAGTTTATCCTGCTTGCTGTAAAAAAAAATACAAGATCCAAATAAAAGATGTCAGGAAAATGTAAATTTATGCTAATGTTGACATGAAAATCACTTATTTACTCCTTGCAGTGGTATACGTTACTATATTATTTGTCTAAAATGTGAAATGTAATCTTCATTATGAGTGCAAAGTTTGTTTTAGTGTCGACGTTCAGTGGAGATAAACGGGACAGGGAGGGGAATGCGCGCAGTAGGCTGCTTTAGAAACAGGCAAAGCCAACATGCTGTCAGTGACTGCAAAGTGCCAAACGCAGGACAGACTGGCTTCAGAGGACACTCCTCTGTCCGACCCCAACCTCCCCTCTATTTGAAGCGCTTTCTCCCATCCCAACCAATAATGTAAGACTCTATCGGGGAAGATCTCTCAGCTGTAACTTTTATCCCTCGTGACTCAGTTTTCAAGCCTGTAGTTAAGCCACAGCTGGTCATCTGCAAGGATAACTGCTGTGAGATGCGGCAATGTCCCGAAAAACATGCCTACGCGTGAACTCTTTTGACTCCGTCCGGATTTTGGCATTGGTGATTTTTGCTGTAAATGTAATCGAGGCGGATAAGCACAGCTGTTATGAAGTAAGAGCCGCTTTCCAGCAGCGAAACATCGGACCGCTTCACCTGGTGCCAGAGAAACCACACAAAGGTAAGGCTGGTGGAGGAAGGCGAGCGCATAACGCATCTTCCACAGCGGCATGGCATGCAGCTTTTATATAATAACAAATATCTCCAAGCATGTAGATGCACATTTAGATTTAAGGGTTCCATAAAAGTCTTGAAACATGTTTTGATATAGTAATAACTATATCATATATAGTTATTATATCATATATAATAATAACTATAATATTTATAGTTATTACTGTAAATTGTTCTAAAATTACCTTAATATAAAATTTTTGGGTCACAGAATTAAGAAACAAAAACTGAACATAAATGTCTGAAGGAAACTGGGGAATTTAATTGAAGTACTTTGAAAATCTATATGGAAACTTTTTTTTTTTTTTTTACATCATTAGTATTACACATCCAAACATTGAAACATTTAAATGTAAAAAAAAAAAACAAAAAACAAAAAAAAAAAAAAAATAATAATGTTTGAATGTTTTGTGTAGAATGTGTTTAGGGAGCATCCTCATTTTATGAATCCTTTTTTGTACAATTATCTCCAGAGGCTCCAGAACAGAATATAGTAAGCTGCCAGCTTTACAGATGAAGACTCCACTACAAGCTTATTACTCTAGTGTTTGCCATACTTTGCTGTAAGCACTGAATTACCTAAGCTACCTCAACACAGTCTGCTCTGACACTTCTTGTGCAGCTTTACTGATGTGTATCTTTTGTACAGGGTTCTCGCCATCGGACTTCATTGAAGCAGGGAGATATATGTATCATATTTGTCCCTGCAAATTTTTTTATGGATTTATGGGAATATTGACCCTTTCACTGACACCTGGGTCTATGTCAAGCATGTTTCACCACAAAATCTGTTTGTGCTGAAAGCTGTCAAAGTAAAACTAAAATTAGACTGATACACAGATTTTTAATGGAAGTAAAGGCCACTGAAACTATGCTTTTAAATCCATTAACCTCCTTATTGCAGTTATACCCGAGAAAAGAGATTTGAAAACATATAACCCAGTCTGGTTACCCACAAGCAGTCAACTTCATGTGCTACTGCCCCGCCAGCAGACAGAAGGCTAGCTCTTAAAGCAGGAGTGAAGATCAGAAGGATTCTCAAATAGTCGGTCTGTCAAGCCGAAACCGATTAATGGTCAGAATTTTTCCCCAACCCTTAAAAAATCAGTATTGCTGTTCCAGTACAAGTTACCTTTGCAGGTGCATCGGAACAACATGTCAGGGTCAATCTGATTAATTGCATATTAAGGGGAGATAAGAACAATGCTTCCAACACTGAGAAAAGATTGAAAGAAGGAGCGAGCTTAGTTAGCAAAAGAAAGAGGATATGGATGCAACATAGAAAAAAAAAAAACTTTCCTCTTCAAACTTGCCCATTAAAAATCCTTGTGAGAACCCTGGTATAGTCCATTTTCCAGGTGAATGTCAGTGTAATTACGACTTAATCACCTCAACCTTTTCTCCAATTTTGAAGCACTGTTGATTACAGGAAGTTGATTTCAGTGGAGCAGTGGGTAGCACTGCTGCCTTGCAGCAAGAAGGTTCTAGGCTCGAATCCAGGCCCAGGGTCTTTCTGTATGGAGATTGTATGTTCTCCCTGTGCATGCAGGCGTTCTCTCCGGATACTCTGGCTTTCTCCCACAGTCCAAAAATATGACTGTTATGTTAATTGGGTTTTTTACTAATTCTTTTTAGTGTGTGAATGGTTGTTTGTCCTGTTTGTCTCTGTGTCGCCCTGCGATTGACTGACGACCTGTCCAGGGTGTGTCCCGCCTCTCACCCGTAGACAGCTTGAGATAGGCACCAGCACCCCTCGCAACCCCTATTGGGATTGGCGTGACTGAAAATGGATGCATGATTTCAGCCATTAAAAGGAGAAATTAAAGTTTTTGAATCAATATATCAGAATAAATATAGCGGAGCTAAGCCAACATGCTGTAACCTTGAGCGAGACAATCTTCGATATCTAGTTCACTGATTATGGAAAGTCGCAACCTTTAGTTTGTGGACAGAATAAGCCTTTTGCAGCTAATGCACCTTATATAGAAATGAGTTGCAGGACTAACCACTGTAGAACATTTTTGAAAAATTTGACTTCCAATTTATTTTGTGTCAAGTAGACACAGTAACTGTGATATCGGTATCTTATCGGGAATTTAGAATATCAGGACATCCCGAGTGCTTAAAATTGATAGAAAGTCAAATTGCTAATCTTCTAGTAACGCAATAAAGTGATTATCATTATTTAGTTAATCAGGTTTACACTCCAAATAGAAAACTTGTACTTGTTTATAATGTATTTAGATATAGAATAATGAGGCAATTAATCAATGATTTATTTGTATTTGTGGTGGTTACATTTAGAGTTAGACTTTATTTTGGTTTGACTTTCTGCTCTATAAAACTTTGATTGCTGCTGCAGTAGTCTAACATGCTTGTTGGTTACAGGTCAAGTGTCACCCAGCATGAGTCTGCATGCTGTAACTGGAAGAGGAGTAATAGATAGCTGAGTGGGAAACATAGTTTGAGGTGCATCCAAAGAACTTGATATATTTGTTTTTCTAAGCGTTACTATTAGCAACAGAGTATGTAATTGCCATCTTGAGGAGTAGTTGATTTTTAAAGACAATCCTTTGCCTGCATGTAGTATCTGTGAAGGAAATATCTACCTGTTCTTCCAGGAACAAAATACCAGCAGAGCACCAGTTCCAGGTGCCTTAGTCTCCTGCATGATGGTTTGTTCTAACCTGTTTTCACCTGTTCGAACCAAGATTTACAACTCATTACTGATGCAGTGAGTAGTTATCTCCTACTTCGAGTGATCAATGACAATGGGCTCTATGCACAGCTCCACTACTTCCTGAATTTAAGGCAGCTCCTTTGTTTCCTGTCTTTCATTACTGGACGAACTGATTAATCCAGGTGTGTCTGGCCAGTTACTTAGGTCATACACACCTGGATTAATCAGTGCATCCAATCATGAAAGACAGGAAACAAAGGAGCTGCATTAAATTCAGGAAGTAGTGGAGCTGTGCATAGAGCCTATTCCTGCTCCCAACAAACTACCATATAAAGCAGTCACCCAAGATCTGCACCCTACATATTATGAAACCTTTAGATAATATCGTGTATATATCATTAAAAAGTCTTTTGATACATCCAACCCTTTGCAATTTTTTTTTTTTTTTGTTTAAAATATCTGACCCTAACTTTGACCTACTGTGGGCGAATAAGCTGTGGCTTTTGGGGCTTGAAAAATTCAAAACCACCTTTGGGGTCAATAAACGCAGGTGTTCTTCAAATGTGTAATTTTTCCCCACTACTCTTCTCTTTTACATCACTGACTGTCATGCTTTTAATTTAAGAAAGCACTGACAACTCCCAGTAAAGGAGATCTCTGTCATTAGACTGAATCTGTAAACAACACTGATGTGGAATGGCTGGATATCAAGAGGCTCTTATTATACAGGAACTTTTTAAAACCCTGAAAAGCTCCATGGCTTTGCAGTTTTTCAGGTGCCTGGAGATAATTTTTTCCAAAGAAGATTCAGGAAAGACAACATTTTACACATACTTTCACATACAGGGTATGCCTTTTTAAGCTGTTACCTACAACTTATAACCTCACAATTTCAAAGCAAAAAATAACTTACTTTGAAAATCAGAATTTTGAAAAACTATTAACGTCATTTACAAGTACTCGAGTAATATTAGCAATGTTACTCTCTCAGTGAAGAAAAAGAAAATGCTTCTGTGTTTAACTCCAGTCAGCCTCCGTAGATGGCCGCTCACACCGAGCCTGGTTCTGCTGGAAGGTTCTTCCTGTTAAAAGGGAGTTTTTCCTCTCCACTGTCGCTACAAGCATGCTTGGTGTGAGAGATTGCCTTTGAGTCAATGAGTCGATGTAATCAGCTGGTTTTCCTTAGATAGAAAACTTTGAATCAATTTGACTGTATGATCTGGTTAAATTGTCTCAGTGAAGTGCCTTGAGATGACAAATGTTGTGAATTCGCACTATATAAATAAAATTAATTGCATTGCATTGTGATTATTTTTATTACCTGTACATTTTCTTCTGATCTTACGTTTCATTATTTGTCATAGATATTGGCTTCACATAAAGAAAATCTTATCACACACACACACACATAGTAGAAGTATTCCCTTTTGGTATATGTAGTTCAACTTTATCTCCAATTTAAAGTTATTTTATAATACCTTTTAACTTGTGCAATTTGTAGTTCTGTTTTTTTTTATAATAAAAATGTAGGTATGAGGTAAATGTGGTTAAACAAAATATGTAGATACTCTGTGTAAAAAGATGGACAACCTAATTTTATTCAGCTATCAAATGAGACTATAGCGTACTTCTCTAGTGTATGTTGATAGGGATTTCCAAAACTCTTTATGCATACCCCATCTGTTGAATTTACTAGTATTAAATCTGCTTTTGCATGTGCAGACGACAGTGAGCAAGAAAGAAAGTAACAGTGGCTTAAGCTTTTTTTTTTTTTTGCATTATTTCTTGAAAGGGCTATAATGGACAAAGGTTTTATTAGAAAAAGAGATTTAACATGTGCAAGAATTATATGTACATAACGATGCAACTCATCTTCAGTTCTTACATCTTATGCCAACAAGAGCAACCCCTGAAATGTGAAGAGGCCAGGCTTCAGCCCTCTTCACAGTGTTATATTTACCTTGGGATACAGTGCTCTGCTTTATATGCTGTGAGCAGATTTCTTACGAGTAGCAGGAGTGTGTCGACCAACATTTGGATGATTCAAGTTTCAAGTGAACCACATTCTTGCTGTACACATATGTCTGTGTTTGACATTCTTTTGATCCCAATAATTAAAGTCCATCAAGTAACTTTAGTAACCAATATAATAAAATATAGGTGTTGAAAAAGTTTAATTGTATTATTAATTATTTGGATGATATTTTGTTGAATGTTTTTAGGTATTTTACATACTTTCAATCTTTGTATCAAAGCTGAAACCTAAT